TAATTATAACCTATGTTAAACTAAATACAGAGCACACAATTAAATAGACAGATCACATTTAATTTAGCCAATGACTAATGTTCAACAGAATTAAACAAAACAGGTGTTTGCATATTTAAATAACTGGTTTCGATTAATAAATAGGCTTACAATAATAACAATGATATACAATAATAATAATGATAAAATACGTTTCAAAATTGCATCCTACCTAAACATGGATTTGCACCGTAACTGGCATTTGGCTTATCATCTTAGTCCACTACAATATAAAAACGTATATAAAATTCTCCTTGTAGGCTTTTCACTATAGGCATACTCTTTTTCCTCTAACTTTTGTTTTACTTCAATGAAAAAGACCTCCATCTTCACAATCAACAGTAGCCAGGCCAAGGCTACTCTCTCGCTCTCTCTCTCTCTCCTCAGCAGAATGTGCAGGTGCGAGCAAGGCATGAGAGTGCTGCTGAAGCGTAAATTGAGGGTGTAGGCTATGATAGACAGCCTCTCCTGGACAATTTGGCCCACTACAATTTTATTTATCAGGATTTTCATTTTTCTGCAGCCAAAAGCTGGCAATTAGGCCTACTGGCTAAGGGAAACGCTTGCGCATTTTCCCATCAGAGTTGTTTCCATCAAATTGACTGGTTGCAGATAAACGTCTGCGCATAAATACATAGTGCACATAAAAATTACTTTTGTCACCAGAATAAGACCCTCGATATTTATTGAAAGGATCATCAACCTCATCACTGTTCACTTTCACCACAAAGTGAAGTTCATCATAACTTATTTCATCTGTAGCCTAATAAACTGCATGCTTTCTCATGATGTCGTGCCATTTCTCTATCCGACTCGTAGGCTACTTTACTCGTAGGCTACTTTACTCGCATAAAAAGGTTGGATGGGAAACCTGGTTTTTGTTAAGCCATTTTGAAGATGCTGGAATTATATTTTGGATGAATGTGTGCAGGCCTACAGGAGACTTTTGAAGTTGCCTAATCAGATTAAAACATTGTGACTGGTTGTGTTTCTGCCACATATAAAAGGTAATACATTTGAAAAGATACATGATAAATATTTAGGCTTTATTGAAGCTGTTGAATGTTGATGCACAACTGAGTCAACTCGAGTGAAACATTCAAATCACAGGGCTTTGGGGGGGTTCCTTTAGTGAATCAAAGTATACTCCAGACTTTTGAAAATGACATTCAAGTGAATGATTAATGGCCACATCTCCATTGGGTTGAGAACGGACCAACATATTCTTACAACATATTACAACATATTCTTATGAATTATATTCTCACTACTGTAAAGACCATGACCACTGCCTCTACAACTGCTTTACCTGAGACCGCCATCTCTTAGGGTTTAAAACTTGTCCTTCCTAAATTAGTAGGATTCATCCTTATTCAATTTAGCAGATCTCTTCTACATTTACAGAAGCTTGCTGGTTGATTGGTTGTAACTCGATGTGGGAGGTGGGCCCGCATTCCCTATTACTCTGGCGTCTAAACTGTGGCTTCGAAGATCCAAAGCTGGTGAATTGGTCAACAGGAGTAATGGTAAGTGCATTTCCTTTCTCTTTGCCAAGTTTAAAGTACGGATAGATAATCTCATTGTTGAATTTCTGGCAAGAGTAACTCTGGATTAGAAATTCTTTCTTCACATTGTAAAAGGAGACCTGGCCACATCCATCAAGTTCAACATATATCCCCACCTTCAGAGGCTTCTTGCTCACAGACCAGAAACCTCCACCCTTCAACTCAACAGTCACACAGTTATCCCCAGCAGAACCTTTACTGACTCCTAAGGCATACTCGTTCGACCTATTGATCTGCACCTCAAAGTAATATTTTCCATCAATATGGAATTCTTCTTTTCCAAGGACAGAGAGACAGCAATCACTGTTATCTGGAGTAGCTTCATACTTCACTTTTTTGCCATTATCAGAAATGTGGAGAGCGGGTGGTGCTGTAAGTGGATTCAAAGTCACATCAACTGTGGAGAGAATCACTTTAGTTTGACAGGATTATAAAATGGGCCTGTGAATTTGAATATCATATCTCCACACAATATAAAGTAATGGCGGTTCTGAAGATTTGTGATATTATCTCTCTTGAGAAGAATAACACAGTTACCTGCATAAAGTCTTCTTATTCTGCCAAATTCTGGAAATAAACAAATACAGATCAAATGGTTGATCAAGGGAAATGTGTGCCAATACAAAGACTCACAAACTGAATCATGGAAGAAGACAGAAACTAAAGAGTTTAATCATTTGTATGTTTTGGAATGTATCATGTTTTTCTGCAGTGACATTTTACTGTCAGCAATTACACATAGAACACTATCTCTGTTATATTACTGTGGTATTTTGGATATACTGTTGAATTGAGCTTTAATGACAAAAACAACAATTTGGCTCTTACCTGACTCTCCACTTTTTCTCCAGTAAAGAAAAACAGTTAAAAAGATACTAAGGGCAAGTAAAGGTATGGATAAGGAAGCCATGGTAAGAGCCATGGTATTGTTATTGATGGGAGCAACAGGATCACCTGCAACAGGAACATAATGTAACATCATCAGTCTGGAGAGAGTTCATGTGTGTTTATTGCTATTTTACTATATATTGTTCATTCTTGTTTTTCATAATTGTCATTAACAAGGTGTTTGTTTTTAACAACAGGAACATCATGTAGGTATAGTACCTTAGACCAATGTGGAGGAATTATATAATAGTTATGTTTGAAATGACTGTTTATGAAGTATTATATACACTGAGTTTACAAAAACATTATGAACACCTGCTCTTTCCATGACATAGACTGACCAGGTGAATGCTATGATCCCTTATTGATGTGACTTGTTAAATCCACTTCAATAAGTGTAGATGAAGGGGAGGAGAAACATTAGCAATTTTTAAGCCTTGAGACAATTGAGACATGGATTGTGTATACAGTGGGGAATAAAAGTATTTAGTCAGCCACCAATTGTGCAAGTTCTCCCACTTAAAAAGATGAGAGAGGCCTGTAATTTTCATCATAGGTACACGTCAACTATGACAGACAAAATGAGAAAAATAAATCCAGAAAATCACATTGTAGGATTTGTAATGATTTTTTTTGCAAATTATGGTGGAAAATAAGTATTTTGTCAATAACAAAAGTTTCTCAATACTTTGTTATATACCCTTTGTTGGCAATGACACAGGTCAAACGTTTTCTGTAAGTCTTCACAAGGTTTTCACACACTGTTGCTGGTATTTTGGCCCATTCCTCCATGCAGATCTCCTCTAGAGCAGTGATGTTTTGGGGCTGTCGCTGGGCAACACAGACTTTCAACTCCCTCCAAAGATTTTCTATGGGGTTGAGATCTAGAGACTGGCTAGGCCACTCCAGGACCTTGAAATGCTTCTTACGAAGCCACTCCTTCGTTGCCCGGGCAGTGTGTTTGGGATCATTGTCATGCTGAAAGACCCAGCCACGTTTCATCTTCAATGCCCTTGCTGATGGAAGGAGGTTTTCACTCAAAATCTCACGATACATGGCCCCATTCATTCTTTCCTTTACACGGATCAGTCGTCCTGGTCCCTTTGCAGAAAAACTTCCCCAAAGCATGATGTTTCCACCCCCATGCTTCACAGTATGTATGGTGTTCTTTGGATGCAACTCAGCATTCTTTGTCCTCCAAACACGACGAGTTGAGTTTTTACCAAAAAGTTCTATTTTGGTTTCATCTGACCATATGACATTCTCCCAATCCTCTTCTGGATCATCCAAATGCACTCTAGCAAACTTCAGACGGGCCTGGACATGTACTGGCTTAAGCAGGGGGACACGTCTGGCACTGCAGGATTTGAGTCCCTGGCGGCGTAGTGTGTTACTGATGGTAGGCTTTGTTACTTTGGTCCCAGCTCTCTGCAGGTCATTCACTAGGTCCCCCCGTGTGGTTCTGGGATTTTTGCTCACCGTTCTTGTGATCATTTTGACCCCATGGGGTGAGATCTTGCGTCGAGGGAGATTATCAGTGGTCTTGTATGTCTTCCATTTCCTAATAATTGCTCCCACAGTTGATTTCTTCAAACCAAGCTGCTTACCTATTGCAGATTCAGTCTTCCCAGCCTGGTGCAGGTCTACAATTTTGTTTCTGGTGTCCTTTGACAGCTCTTTGGTCTTGGCCATAGTGGAGTTTGGAGTGTGACTGTTTGAGGTTGTGGACAGGTGTCTTTTATACTGATAACAAGTTCAAACAGGTGCCATTAATACAGGTAACGAGTGGAGGACAGAGGAGCCTCTTAAAGAAGAAGTTACAGGTCTGTGAGAGCCAGAAATGTTGCTTGTTTGTAGGTGACCAAATACTTATTTTCCACCATAATTTGCAAATAAATTCATAAAAAATCCTACAATGTGATTTTCTGGATTTTTTTCCTCAATTTGTCTGTCATAGTTGACGTGTACCTATGATGAAAATTACAGGCCTCTCTCATCTTTTTAAGTGGGAGAACTTGCACAATTGGTGGCTGACTAAATACTTTTTTTCCCCACTGTATGTGCTATTCAGAGGGTGAATGGGCAAGACAAAAGATTAAAGTGCCTTTGAACGGGGTATGGTAGTACGTGCCAGGCGCTCCGGTTTGTGTCAAGAACCGCAATGCTGCTGGGTTTTTCACGCTCAACAGTTTCCCATGTGTATCAAGAATGGTCCACCACCCGAAGGACCTCAGCCAACTTGACACAATTGTGGGAAGCATTGGGGTCAATCCCTGTGGAATGCTTTTGACACCTTGTACAGTAGAGTTTATGCCCTGACAAATTGAGGCTGTTCTGAGGGCAAAACGGGTTGGGGGGTTGCAACTCAATATTAGGAAGGTGTTCTTAATGTTTTGCACACTCAGTGTATATTATTAAGAAGTTACCAGTATGCTTCTTCTCCTCAAAGAGGAATAACAATTGTAATTGTAATTGACATTCTTTAGACGAGATCATGCTCAAAGATAGCTACGCACCCGTAGTGTGAATCTCTGCCTTTTTCGTGTGATTGATCAGCTTCATATGAACTCCACAAGTAAAGATGTTGTCTCCCTCTGGAACAACAATTCTGCTGATCACTGTATAGGGGCCCTCAGGGTCCTTGGGGTCTCTGTGTATCTCTGGCGGTCCAGTAGAGAGAGTTTGTCCTTTACTGTCTTGCCACACCAGCTCAGGTTCTGGATACCAGCCTTTAGCTTCACACTTAAGACCAACAGTACCCTTTTCCTTTTCTTCAGTAGAGATCACTGGCTGGGACCCTATAACTACACAGATAAAAGCAGTGGTGTAAAGTACTTAAGTAAAAATACTTTAGAGTACTACTTAAGTAGTTTTGTGGGGTATCTGTACTTTACTTTACTTTTTATATTTTTTACTTTTACTTCACTACATTCCTAAAGAACATAATGTACTTTTTACTCCATACATTTTTCCTGACACCCAAAAGTACTTGTTACATTTTAAATGCTTAGCAGGACAGGAAAATTGTCCAATTCACACACTTATCAAGAGAACATCCCTGGTCATCCATACTGCCTCTGATCTGGTGGACTCACTAAACACAAATGCTTTGTTTGTAAATTATATCTGCGTTGGAGTGTGCCCCTGGCAATCCGTAAATAAAAATAAATAAAAAAAGAACATGCCGTCTGGTTTGCTTAATATAAGGAATTTGAAATGATTTATACTTTAACTTTTGATACTTAAGTATATTTTATCAATTACATTTACTTTTGATACTTATGTATATTTAAAACGAAAATACTTTTAGAATTTTACTCAAGTAGTATTTTACTGGGTAACTTTCACTTTTACTTGAGTCATTTTCTATTAAGGTGTACTTTTACTCAAGTATGACAATTGGGTACTTTTTCCACCACTGGACAAAAGGAGGTAAAATAATAATCAATTAATCTATACTGATGTAATATAAAAATATACTGTTTTAATTCTGCATTCTCATCCATACTGGTAAAGCAAATAATATCAAATATTTGTATATTCACACAACATGATTCTCACCTGTAACAATGACTTTCATAAAGACATCATCAAAGGAGCCCTTGTACTGAACAATACATATGTAGATTCCTTCATCAGATATTTTCACTCCCATGAGTTTCAGTGAGGTGTTTCCTTGCTTCAGTTCATCTTTGAAGAGTGCTGTCCTTTCCTTGTAGGAGGGATTCTGCCTCTCACTTCTGTCAATGCGGTCCTGGTAATGATGGATGACCGTGTTCAGGTGATTCCACTTTACTCTGGAGTCCACAGCATTGATGGAAGGTTTGAGGTAGCAAGGAAGAATGACGTCCTCACCAGCCACAGCAACAATGTCACCAACCGGACCAAGAACCTTAAACTCCACTGGAGAGATAGATTGACAACTCAGATTTAGACTATCCTAACACACACGCACACACACACCAAGTCTGTAAGAAAAAAGTGCACTGTACCTACCAGAGACTGTCCTGTGGAGTTGAGCCAGGAGAACCATACACAGACACTCTAGTCGGTAACCCATCCTAACTAAAGAAGATACAAATGAGGAGCAATCATCACAATGCACTGGACACAGAATAATTGTCCAATAGGGCTAAATACAATAGCCTACAGTAACGGAGCAATTTGGGCATAAGCCAAGAGCAAATAGCTACTATTTTCAAAACAAAAAAATCTAAGTTGCAAAGAAATATGAAACAAAGTACAAAAAAGTATGTAAAGTAGATAGATGTAGGCTAGCATTATTACGTTGTGGTAGGTCTACTTGAATGCAGAGGCTCTGCTTGTATGTAGTTCGAGCGCATTTCTCACATTTCTGTCGAAGCAACAAAACTAATATTTGTCCTCAAACACTTACCTTTGAAACAAAACCAATTTAGGGCAAAAGATGATAATCCGATTATAATTGGAGAGATTTCCTAATGTTTCCCTGGATAGGTCACCTTCAAATTCGAAGCAAAATTCTTACATTAAAGTCAAAGTCAGACTTTGTGGCTGTGCTATCTAGTGGAACTGTTAGGAAGGGACATTTCTGCCACTCCTTCATAGAAACAGCCATATACATGACTCATATGTCGAAGTCCTTAGCTACCATTAATTTAGCAGTCGCCACCTCCCTCTAGTGTATGACCTGAATTGCCGCAGTGTATTGATCTAATGGTCAACGCATAAGACGCATTGATTAGGTATTACATTCTCACAAAGTCTGCTGTTTAATGTTATTACATTCTCACCCCGTCCGCTGTTTAATGTTACTTCTGTTATTCACTTTGGATTAAAGTGTTAGCTTAATGAGTAATGATCATATTATTATTATGTTATTATAGTAGTAGGAAATATGAGTGAATCTGGTTGTAGGCCTATCTTCTCTGTGTTAATAGTGATCTAAGGGCCGATTCCGAGTTAGGAATGTGTGCCTGTCCAATGCACAACTTTCCTACGCACTTCTCAGTATTTGTTATTCAGACTTATTCAGTCGCGTAACGCGCTCTTCAAGTGTGGCTACATTGCGCGCTCTGAGTAAATGTAATTCAACCGCTGAAAACCCTCCCACTTGATGGCCAACAGATTTTCTCGTGGAGTTTTCATTCAACAGGGTTTTAAGTACATTTATATTAAGCCATCCCTTTAAATACGATGTACCTTTAATTTTAATTTAGTCGACACACACAGTACCATTTAGCTATTGAGAGAACATTCAGAATATTAGGGATCAATGAAAGAAAGTCATATAAATATATGCATATTTGTCTCCATTTCAGCACCAATTGGTAGATTAAAAAATAATCTGATTTTGTAGATTATTTATAGGTCATAAGAAAACAGGTTTGGAGAGCCTTTATGAAAGAAAGAAAATGGTGGTTTGATTCCTTCTGAAATTAGCCACATTCAGTTCTTCAACCCATGGTAATGTTGGAAGATTAGTGTACATACAATTACAATAGGGAGAATAGTGTACAATGGTAGGCTATACCCCTTCTGTTTTTCATTTTGTATAAATTTGCTAAAAGAATAAGGCTGTAACGTAACAAAATGTGGAAAAAGTGAATACTTTCCTAATGCACTGTATGTAGGCCTATTGTAACAGGCCCACAATGTCCTATTTGGATTTATTTGGCTGTTTTCGCTGAATAACATGTAGAAGTGACTGCTAAATGCTAACTCCCGTTTGTATAAGCTAGCTAGCGCATAGCTACTGTAGCATACACAAATCGTTGATGGTAGTCAAAGTAATTTTGAACTGTAATGCAGTTGATTGGTAACAATGACATGAACATGTGTTCGGGTTGACATCCATACAAGCGTTTTTCTCCTATTTTACCTCAACATAGTGTGAAAAACACATATAAACAATAGCCTAAATGTAGGAACATTTTATTAGGGGGCAATGAGGACACTCAGGATCTTTCCCCACAGCCTTTTCCCCCACGCGTTTCCATGGCAATTCCATTGTTTGGGTCAAGTTCGATTGACCTCTTGACTTTTTAAAATTTTAAATAATCCATTTGTTTTTTCACATACAATAATAGATTAATTCATATAAATACAAATCAGTTTTCACATCAATACATGGGTTCATTATTAGGTTACATAATATTTAATAGTGTCCATGGATGTTTTTGTAGGCCTACTTGTTTTTTAGAGTCCAGCTTTCTTCTTATTTTTAATTCAGTTTTGATTTGTTTAAAAATAGTGTCTTTACAGCGTCTATGGAACTGTGTGATGACAAGTCCAAGTATTGTGCCATGTGTTGGGTTAAGGCTTGGTCATCGCTCTGCTCCATAGCCTTTAATTAGCCTACATGTCTTTATAAAGTGCATTAGGAAAGTATTCAGACTCCTTGACTTTTTCCACATTTTGTTGCATTACAGCCTTATTCTAAAATTGATTAAATTGTTTTCCCCCACCTCATTAATCTACACACAGTGTTCAATAATGACAAAGCAAAAACAGGTTTTTAGACATTTTAGCAAATGTATTAAAAATACAAAACTGAAATATTACATTTACATAAGTATTCAGACCCTTTACTCAGTACTTTGTTGAAGCACCTTTTGCAGCGATTACAGCCTCAAGGCTTCTTGGGTATGATGCTACAAGCTTGGCACACCTGTATTTGGGGTGTTTCTCCCATTCGTCTCTGCAGATCCTCTCAAGCTCTGTCAGGTTGGATGGGGAGTGTCACTGCATAGCTATTTTCAGGTCTCTCCAGAGATGTTCTTTCGGTTTCATGTCCGGGCTCTCAAGGACATTCAGAGACTTGTCCTGAAGCCACTCCTGCGTTGTCTTGGCTGTGTTCTTAGGATCGTTGTCCTGTTGGAAGGTGAACCTTCGCCCGAGTCTTAGGTCCTAAGCGCGGTTTTCATCAAGGATCTCTCTGTACTTTGCTCCATTCATATTTCCTTTGATCCCAGTCCCTGACGCTGAAAAACATCCCCACAGCATGATGCTGCCACCAACATGCTTCACCGAAGGGATGGTGCCAGGTTTCCTCCAGACGTGACGCTTGGCATTCAGACCAAAGAGTTCAATCTTGGTTTCATCAGACCAGAGAATCTTGTTTCTCATGGTCTGTGAGTCCTTTAGGTGCCTTTTGGCAAACTCCAAGTGGGCTGTCATGTGCCTTTTACTGAGGAATGGCTTCCGTCTGGCCACTCTACCATAAAGGCCTGATTGGTGAAATGCTGCAGAGATGGTTGTCCTTATGGAAGGTTCTCCCATCTCCATATAGGAACTCTGGAGTGCTTTCAGAGTGACCATCGGGTTCTTGGTCACCTCCCTGACCAAGGCCCTTCTCCCCCAATTGCTCAGTCTGGCTGGGTGGCCAGCTCTAAGAAGAGTCTTGGTGGTTCCAAACTTCTTCCATTTAAGAATGATGGAGGCCACTGTTCTTGGGGACCTTCAATGCAGCAGAAATTGTTTGGTACCCTTCCCCAGATCTGTGCCTGGACATAATCCTGTCTCGGAGCTCTATGGACAATTCCTTTGAACTTATGGCTTGGTTTTTGCTCTGACTCCAATGAAGTTGTAGAAACATCTCAAGGATGATCAATGGAAACAGGATGCACCTGAGCTCAATTTCGAGTCTCATAGCAAAGGGTCTGAATACTTATGTAAATAAGGTATTTCTGTTTTTAATTTTTAATACATTTGCAAAAATGTCTAAAAACCTGTTTTCACTTTGTCATTATGGGGTATTGTGTGTAGATTGATGATAATTGTTAATAATTTAATATGTTTAAGAATAAGGCTGTAATGTAACAAAATGTGGAAAAAGTCAAGGGGTCTGAATACTTTCTGAATGCACTGTACTGGTTACAGACACGTTACATAGGCATAGTTCATAGGGTTGGTTCCGGCGTGTGTCTGGCACCATCTCCTATCTTAATTTAAAGAACATATTCTGGGCGGTCTGCCAGGTGGTCCTAAGGAGTGGGTCATGTCGCCCCCCCCATCATATCTTTACCAAGCACAGACAGGAACCAAGGATTATTTACGACACTAAGACAAGATGAACATTTTCAAGGCAGTCTCTTCACATGATGACATTTTCCATCACAACCCTTTGTCAATCCAAGCAATTAGTTTATCTCTCTCTCCAAGAGGTGAATGTTTAAGTTTATGTTTATATTGATGCTGTGTTTATAGCCCTCTATAGACATGTTGTAAGTGTAATACCATTTGCCATTTATTAAGATACATATATGTACAGTACCAGTGTTTTTCTTTATATTTACTATTTTCTACATTGTAGAATAATAGTGAAGACATCAAAACTATGCAATAACACATATGGAATCATGTAGTAACCAAAAAAGTGTTAAAGAAATCAAAATATATTTTATATTTGAGATTCTTCAAATAGCCACCCTTTACCTTGATGACAGCTTTGCACACATGCGGAGAAAAACACATGCGGAGATCAACCGTTCACCCACACCACGTCTCACAAAAACACGGCGGTTGGAACCAAAAATCTCAAATTTGGACTCCAGACAAAGGACAAATTTCCACCGGTCTAATGTCCATTGCTCATGTTTCTTGGCCAAAGCAAGTCTCTTCTTATTATTGCTGTCCTTTAGTAGTGGTTTATTTGCAGCAATTCGACCATGAAGGCCTGATTCACACAGTCTCCTCTGAACAGTTGATGTTGAGATGTGTCTGTTACTTGAACTCTGTGAAGCATTTATTTGGGCTGCAATTTCTGAGGCTGGTAACTCTAATGAACTTACCCTCTGCAGCAGAGGTAACTCTGGGTCTTCCATTCCTGTGGCGGTCCTCATGAGAGCCAGTTTCATCATAGCGCTTTATGGTTTTTGCGACTGAACTTGAAGAAACTTTCAAAGTTCTTGAAATGTTCCATATTGACTCAATCAATCAATCAATTTTATTTTATATAGCCCTTCTTACATCAGCTAATATCTCGAAGTGCTGTACAGAAACCCAGCCTAAAACCCCAAACAGCTAGTAATGCAGGTGTAGAAGCACGGTGGCTAGGAAAAACTCCCTAGAAAGGCAAAA